CAGAGATGTAGTGATGAAGCTAAGCTTAATCATGAGATTTCAGATTCATATTGCTTCGCGGATCACCTCACTAAGAGTCATATATTCAGTCTCATTGAAACTTAGAGATACACAAGATTGCTTCACTGAATATCATGAAATTGAGCTGTCTGTAAGCTTAAAAACATAGCTGAATATTGATTTTCTATCATCATTCAAGAGGCCGGCCTAATCAGAATCCGAGTAGCTGAAGAATAGGTAGAAATCATTGACAAAATCAGAGAGAACAGATTCCTCATGCGGGCTGCATCTGTAGAAAATACTCAGATTCATAATTTCTTTCAAATAACATATATTGTATAACAGGGTCTTTCAATATTGAGGTATTAAATTAATGTTCTGTTAAGTAAGTAGTAAGACAGTATGAGTGATATCAGAATATGTTTTAACTACAAGATATTACAAGCAACTCACATCATGTTAATATTATTAAATTATGAAATCAGTCTCTTGCTCAGATATAGAGAAATCATCAATACAGAATTCATTCTTCATTGATATTTTAATAACAGCTACATTATCAAGATAGAAATCTTTAACAAGATATTTAATATATTGATAATATATTAAATCAATTTCTTTATCTGAAAAATTGACTTTCATACTTAAATACTTGATTAATTGATATAGATTCTTGACTTTCAATTTCTCACTGAGTATACTCACTAGTCAATCAGCATTCTCGGAAACTTCAGATATGATGTTAAGATCATTAACATAGATTATTATATAGAGATGACATCTAAATGTATACTATCAGAGTGCTAAATCATAGATGCTGACTGTAAATTCAAGATCACTTAACAGAGCTATTAAGTAATCATATCAGATCTTCACTGCAGAGTTCAGGTCATATAAACTATTCTCAATCACACAGACAAGTGTTTTCAGCAAACCTGTTTTAAAACTAATGAGTTGTCTCAGATAGATCTTCTTAGTGAGATGCTCATGCAGATATATCATCACTATATTCACTTAACAGAGTGTTCAATCACATAGTACTGCTATTGTAAAAAGAATCTGATTGACAGTATCAGTGATGATAGAAGTGTAGATCTCTTCTCTAGAATTCTTCTTAAGTCAGTTATCACAAATCACTTAACATGATTTTCTAAGAATATTATCAGAATCAGTATTTAGATTCACAGGTCTATCTTTCTTAAGAAATATTCAACAGTTTGAAGTAATCAGTTCATCTCTCAGAATATCAGATCTAGAGATTAAACTTCATGTATTATGTCTCTTCAGGTTGATAATCTTGTGTTACATGAACTTCTTTCAATCATCTCTTATTTCCTCTGACTGAGATGTAACATTCTTATAGAACTTCAGAAGGTTATCTGTAATAAGACTCAGAGTATATGTAGTCAGCGATTTCGCAGGCCGCAATTATGTAGAATTCAGATCATCAATGTTAAGAGCATTCTCATCATTAATCTGATAAATGTCAGGTTTCAGTTCAATAATATAATTAATGAGTTTCACAGATATGACAACTGGTTTTTCAGTGATTGAAAATCTCACATTGCTACTGATAATAATCTTGTCAGATTCAGAATGTTATAGATGATATATTAATATGTCACTGAATTCAATGATATGATAGAAATTGGCATGTGAAGAAAGCTTATCCACAGGCTTCTGAGATTCATATAAGTGAATAAAAACCTCTGTACTTAATCAGTGAAAATGCCTCACATTCAGCAGGATATTTGTAAGTGCACATTAAGAAATCTTATATAAACTTGAAATCATAGAAGTCTCTGCAGTAGAGAACCAAAATTTCAAGTTGTAAAGAACTGTAGATATGAGAGTATTATTGATTATTGAAATCACTGTCTCTAGAACATCTGCTCAGAACTTCTTAGAGAGATTATCTTTCAAAAGAGCAGCTCTAATCTGTCTTATAATAGTGCAGATCTCATGTTCAGAAACATTATCTTAATGTAATAAATGAGATGTCATTAATTCTCATTTGATATCATATGTTTTCATGACTGTGTGCATACATGTGAATCAGAAAACATCATCAATATCAGTTCATAGAAAAGTAGAGACTGTATATCTGAGATTATTCATGAATCTGAGTCATAACTCAAAGTATTGAACAGTCTCATTCTTGAACTTTAAAAAATATACTCAACAGTAGTGAGTCACATCACAGATGATAAGTATTCAGTATTTAATTCTCTGACAGAACTCTAAGAGATAATCAGAGAGATCTTTCAACATATATCTATTATCTACAAGATTAATATGAACCTTCTCAATAAGTTGAATAAATCTAGACATCAGTGTTTTTAAATAATCTTATATTATACCTGTCTTGACACATTTCTGACAAAAGAACTTAGTCTTAGAATCTTTAATTGTGACTTCAGTATGAGAATTCTTGACCATAGCAATTATAGCATCAGAGTGAATGTGATTAAGATCATAGTATCAATTCAAAAGAGTCTTTGATATCTTTGATATCTGTGTTTTCATATCTGCAGAATTAACATTATTAACAGTAGTAACAGCAGTCACAGAAAAATCAACTTTTTGATCAAAATTATACTTGTGAGACATCATCATAATATACTTAACTGTCTTATTCAGATGATTGAGATTCTCATTGAACTCTTACTTATTGATCTTATATATGTTGTTCTGAGCAGTCTGAACTGTATGAAAAATAACATTATTCAGAGCTCTGTAAATGAAAAATGAGAGAATAGTAGAAGACAATGTAAATTGAAATTCCAGATTTTCAAGCTTTGCAAATGAGAGCAGGTTAACTGTAATATTAGAAATATAGTGAACATTCTATAAGTTAATATCATCACTCTCAACCTTCAAGATAACAGTCTCAATCTTCTTGACAAACTCAGTTTTCTCAGTCACAGAATTGACAGAGATGTTATCATTAAAAGGTTTCATATTTGAAAAAGAATGAAGCTCATCTGTCATATTCAGGCCTGCACATGTGTTCAAATACCAAGATCTAGAGGATGGTTTTTCAGTGACTGTGAAGAAGAAATAGAACTCAATCTTTGTAAATGCTGCATTTACTGCTGATTGAAAACTTATTAAGTCATTCTTCTTCTCTTTCTTCTTATCATTATTCTTCTTCTTCATCTTCTTTTTCTTTTTATCAGAGTGTAAGATGAAACATCTATCAACAGTATATTCATATCTTCTACAGTGAGTGTACTTTTATACAGTTATGCTTTTATTCTCATCTTTATTCTTGTTCTTATTCTTTTTCACAGTCACAGAATTAGTCTGAGACTGCTTTTTTCACTCAGTGATAATCTTCTTAAATGTATGATTGATCAGTTACTTTATTAAATTATTAATATCAATGTTAATAATGAGTTCTTGATCAGTGAAGAAAAACTCATTCAAACATGTCTTAATAAATAATCTTTGATAATCTTACAGATTGTTGAGGAAAAGATTCTGATATACATCTTCAGTACTCTGACAGAGCTTCTTATAACAGGTAATAAAATAGCAGAAATATCTCTGAAAAGTAAGATAATCACTATTCTTAACTTATAATTTTATCAATTTCTTAAAGATATTAACTTATTCTTCAGTCAGTAATATTATATATTTAATATTAATCTTATTTCACAGAGCTGCACTATTATCAGCTTTTAAGAGTTTAATTGTGATTCAAATGTTTTCAACAAGACTTGACAGTATATGTTTATATAGAGACTTGAAACAGATCTTTCACTTCTCAGAATTGATATAATGTGTAAAGAGAGATTCTTATTAAATTCTCAATAGAATGTCAGTTTCATTAATAACTTCTGTATCAGTTAATATATCAACACATCAGACTTTATAATTAGAGTTATTAAATGTGATTATTATTATTATTATTATTATTATTATTATTCTTTCATTATACTTATATACAAGTAAAGCTTATAATGAGTTCTTGCGTGATATTAAATACAGATTAAGTGTTAATTATACAGGAGAAAATACAGATGTTGAAATCACATCAAGATAATAAGAACATAGAAAAATACAAAGAAGTGATAATTAGATATATATGATAATAACTTCTCAGCTCAGAAATATAGAGTAATTCATTGAAGTGATTTATACACCTCTGTATTTATTAGAAATCTGAGGTGCTTAAGTTTCAGATTTAATATATTCCCCTGCGGGTTTCGAACCCACGCACCTTGATTTCTCATGCTAAGATGCTACTGAGTGACCGCATTAATCATTCAGTCACTGAGGTATTAAATGTGATTACTGATTTGATATCTAATATATATTTGATTTTCTTCTAGTATTCTCACAACTCATTTCTTATAGTGTCTCTTTGTGCAGAAACAGATATAGTGAGATATTAAGTAATTTCAGCTGAAGCTATTTAATTCTATAGTATTATCTGTATAAGATTTATAAAATTATCTGCAATATAAATTATATAATAGATAGATTGATTTAAATCATTATTAAAAGTTAGCATTTCAGAGATAAGAAATAGTGAAGAATTTAATAAATTAAAATAAACAGATTCTGTAGATGAATATTAACTCTGCTTTTCTTTATTCTGAAGTTTCTCTGTTATCTTATTATTAAATTTCATACTCTGATGAAAACTGATCTCAGTCTTATCTTACAAGTTAGAAGTCTTCTCATAATAAGTGATTATTCTATTAATAAGTTATCTAGTGAAGTATGTAATTCTGAGTTTTAAACTGAACTCTGAAGTAATAGATATATCACTTATATTAAGATGACTCTGCTTCTTCTAAATATATAAAAAAAAAAAGAGTGATATTCTTCATAATGAAGAATGTACTTTCTTAAAAATATAAAGTATATAAATCTACTGACTGAATGATTCAGAGAAAATGAAATATCTCTAATAAAGAGTGAGAGTCTTTTTAAAAAAGATAAACTATCTGTGTCAAAAATGTTGATGCATTGTTCTAAAAAGAAAAACATATCATTCAGGCTATAATCTGTAGAATAGTTGAAGATTGTATTGATAGATCTATCTACAAGAACATAATATAGTGGTGGGTCATGTGATCTAGTGGGATCGCTAACCGCAACGGCCGTAACGGCCAACAATAACTTCTCACAGCTAGCAACCTTTTCAATCAAGAAAGCTTTACACCTTCCACATTTATATGGTGCGAGATCTATCGATCCACCCGGACCCCCTTTTCCCCTCTCGAAGAACTGGCAGCTAAACAAGCACCTATCCATGTATGATATAGATGAGTCATGTGTATTATGTCCGTGAGAATTAAGTGTAATTATTTTGAAGAGAAAAAAGCCCACCAAAGATGGCATGTGATCTTTTGTTAACAAACTAGTTCTGATGTCAATAACTATGTTTTATCCGTGGGACGGTACCTAATCAAAACAGAGTGCCTGCTGCGCATCAATATTTAATAAGTTTATCGGCAAAAAAATAAAAATAAAAATAAAAATAAAACGAGTTATCTTAAGAAAAATCGTCTTTTGTTTATCTCTCTATCGGTGGTGTAGATTGGATTCGTTGTATACCCAGATCGTCTTTGCTGAAACGTGAAAAGTCGTGAGGCCGTGCAACATGGACATGAAACATTAACATGCTAGGAACATACAAAAAAAAAAAATGACAAGAAAAGAAAAGAAAAGAAGGGGGAAAGCAGGGGGACAGGGGTACGGACAGCCAGTTTGTGCCAATATCACGGAAAGGTTGAAAAACAACGGAAGAGGCCGGGGTAGAGGCAGGGTTTAGTCGAAGCATCATCAGGGGACGATGCAACGCAAAAAATGGAAAAGGAAAAAAAGGGGTAAAATAAATAAAAAGGAGACAAATCCCTCCTGGACCAGGTCCCTTAACTCCCATCACCGTACCCGTTCATTTGATTTTTTTAAAAAAGAAAGAGAACAAAGAATTTCAAATAAAACACTTCCCCCAATCCCCCCCTCCCCTCGCATAGCTCAACCCCTCTACAAAGTCCTCCAACCGGCACCTCCCCAACGCATCAACTTTACACCCATGCAATGGCACGACGCGGTCATTAACCAGCACCCGAACCAGCGGCTCCCTCGCCATAGGCGTCGAATCACATTCCATCTTCTCTATGTACGCCCTGGCGCCAAACGGGACCATCCAGGCGGCGGAAAAGCCCTTGCTCTCCGCCGGACTGCGCACGGTCGTGTTGGGGAGGGGCACCGTGCCGTTGAAGAGCCCCAGGGCTGTGAAGATGGATACCATGGTATTATCGTGGCTAAAGTCTGCGTAGAGGGGCAGGTCTAGTGGGAAGGTGTGTGGGCTAGAGTCGAGCGTATGGTTGACGGTGGTGGAGTCTGTGACTGGCGTGTTTGTTAGGCGGGCTATGAGCTCGTTGACAAAGCCGACGCCCTGGCTGGCGCCGAGTGGGTTTCCAGTGCTGTGCCCGTAGTATTTTCCTAGGGTGTTGTAGTAGTCGTATTGGGTCCATTCTTCGTCGGTGAAGAGGGTGCAGATGGGAGAGATGGTGCTTGCGTCTGGGGTGATGGCGACGGTGTGGAAAGAGCAGAGGTCCATTAGGTAGGGGATGTCAGCGATGTCGAGGTTCGCGCCGATAAGGTGGGAGTTGACGCGCTTCAGGATTGGGGCCGCAAAGACTTTTGTGAACTCTGCCTGTGCAACTAGGCCTGGTTTGGCATCTTCAAAGAGGTTGCAGTTGGCGTGGTCTAGAGTATTGTTGGAGCCCGGTTCTTCGCTGATTACCACGCCGATAGACGGTTTGCGGGATTTATCGGTTGCAGACGGGTCAGATAGTTTCTCTTGATGGAAGCCGTCGATGAATTTCTCTGCAGACACGATTACCCGTGGAGAGCCTGATGCTCGGATAAAAATGTTGGATTCTTTGGTTAGGTGCCGATAACGACGGTAGAATTTAGTTCCAGAGTCTATCATCTGAGACACCCCAAATGACGTAAGATCTTCAGATTGCAGAGGATAAGTGAAGGATTCTAGAAATGCGAAATCTCCAAGGTATGTCTCTGTACGATCCTGGATGCGCTTAATGAGTTGCGAGTAAATCGCAGACTTTTTTTCGGTTGGATATCTTGCTCCATGTCTCGAGAGAACTTGGACGAAAGTAATAGTGCAACCAATGGGAACCTGTGGAGATATCTCTGAGATAGTTTGCAGAGAAAAGAAAGGAGAATATTGGCCCCATGATTGGGAGTACTTTTGGTGGCATTGGTATCCATTTTGCACTGTGCTGCATACCAGGTCGCGACCAGAATTACGGACAACGCTATTGCATACATTATCAGCAAGTATTAGATTTGATTGGGCAAGGATTTCATCGCTTTTGGTTTCTTACAATGCGTAAATAAACACCGTGCATATCAGCATCAAGCATAGCACAACGGAGACAGTAACGCAGCGTTCCCTCAGTGAGAAAGCGGTATGTTTTCTGTCAAAATGAGACCACCGGCGCCTACTAGAGGCCCCAATATCAAGTGATATAGATGTTCTTGATCCGACATGTTGATCCCCGCGGCCATCTGCATCAGGGCATGCCAGCAGCGCGGTTTGGTCGTTGATTTCTACCATGGCATTCCGTCGGATAGAGGAAGACGAGGCCCCATGTAAACCGTTAATAGAGAATGGTAACCACTGCTATCCACTATACATCGCATTAAGAACAGAAATAAACTGCAACTGCTCGTTCAGTGACAAAAATAAAATAAAAAACAAAAGGAAATAAAAAAGAAGAGTAGACTCAAAGGGCAGAAATAAACACGTCAAGAAGAAACGGTCAATATAAACAATGCACTATTCCACACAAAAAGGCAAATGAATGAGCTCTCTGGAGACTTTTGGCACCAATGCCTGGCTCAAATGCGACTTTGACTGGCTGGAGAGATGCGCCGGCAAAACTTCCTCAAGCAGCAGGAAATATGATTTCGCAGCCTCCCCAAAACGTATAGTATTTATGATGACAGCCCACGATGTCTACTTAATGTTATTATTGAGGACCGGCAACCGGACACAGGAGAAGAGTGGACAAACTGGCGGGCTATCAGGTTGAAGGGATGACGAAATGGATGCGATGACAGTCCCGGGTCACAAGACGCATTCATATAGTTATGGAAAAACCGGACGCTGAGACTTTTGATCCGATCCGGTAGGAGGCGTGGGACGCGCAAGAACAGGTTGCAGCAGCATGTCAAGAAAGACTGCGAGAAAGGGAACATGCCAGCCGGGCATGAGGGGGTAGTTATATACGTAACGCTTCTTAGCAAGTAGCCGGATAGGATGCCAATCCTCGTGTATCCAAGGATACAAGCAACCAATAGATAAAACCCGCAGCTAGAGAACGCTCTGGGAGAATTTCACCGCAAAATACAAAAATACCCCACGCAGCAGCCAAAGGCGGGAGGAGAGGAGAATTAACAACCAACCGGACTAGGTTGAGTTGTAGTCTGTGGAACGGTGTAACGGATCATTGGAATGTTAGAAGTAGACTAGCTTATGTAATACGTTGGTGGGAAACAAACCAATCGGAAGCCGAGTCCAAAGATAGCATCACACTAGTCCTAGACCAGGCTAGTGCCACGGCCCAAGAAGCCCTAGCAGACGGGATCATCGCGCAAATCACCTGACCCCACCCAGCCCTAATTAGCCCTCCCGAAAGAGTCAAAAGCATAATCCACCGGCGCGCAAGGCTGCAGGAGGATTCCCGATTGGCCGGGTCCCGGTGGGTGCTGCTTATCTGCAAGGAAATGACGGAGCCCGGCGCCTTTCACGCATGCGGTGTCAGTCAGGTGATATCAGGGCTGCAGAAATAAATTGGGGGCGGAGAAAAAGGGGGAAGCCTTTGTAAACTGAATGGGGGTGGGGAGGGGAGGGTATGTGATTGGAATGTTGTTTTTGGGCAGTTTAATGTACTGGGGTTAAAAAAAAGGGGGGGGGAGATACTGCACGGACTATTTCTCCGCATATTCGCATATTTGTTATTTCCCATGTTCAATTTCAATTTGGTTTCAGGCATTTTAAGCCCGTTTGGGAATTAGAAATGGACAAGTACTTCTACATCACATGTATGGTATTACACATAGCTATATATATGCTAGTAAGGAGGAGGGAGGGGGGATGGTGTGAAAATATCAGACATTTATTTACGACGCAGGCATCCTTCAATTTAATGGTAAAACATACGACAGACAGACAGAATATTGAATAAGGAGAAGGGCGGAACATAAGAAAAGAGGAAAAAAAAAAAGAAAAGCATGTAGACGGTGAGGAAGAGTTAGTCCACAGTAGCGAATGACAACATCGTAGGAATAAAACGAAGAGGGAATGGATGTGTAACTCTTATGGTGTCCTGCTAGTAGGATTCGAATCGGCTTTGGAAGTACGTCAAACGGGAAGAATTGAAAACCAGCCAGTAAAAAAAGGGAATCCAGAGTACACGGGGCTGAAGAGGATAAAAACAGCATCTGAACTGGGTATAAAACAAAACACAAAAGGAACAAGTAAAAATCTCCAAATTCGCCATTCAGTCTATGCCAACAATAGGGACTCCAAGGTAGAGCCAAATGCCGCTATTACAGTATAATGAGACAAAGCTGGAAGAAAAAAGGAAGGGAAAAAAGGGAAAAAAAACCATTGTACACAAAGAAGTAAAAGTTAAGTCACAGAGGGGCAACGTAATAATGGAACGGGATAAAGAATACCAGGATACAAAGGAACGAGAAAGAAGCTATAGCAAGAACAAAAAACAAGGGAATTTATGTTCGCAAAAGCAAATCATTTATGCCTCCCAGGGTATCAATATGAATAATGGCAAGAAGGAAAAAGTAAAAGAAAAAAGAAAAAAAGAACGCAAGAGAGAAAATAAAAGGGATGGAAAGAAAAGGGAACAAAAAAAAAGACAAGGACATGATCAGTAAGGAACAACCAGTTTGCCCAGAACTGAAAATGCACAAAAATAACCTCCTACAAATGAGAGGCCACAAAAAGCCAAGCACCATTTTCAATCTGCGTGATACACCGAAAACAAACCAAAGATGTAGTAAAACTGTGGCCTTCAACACAATCTAGTCCTCATGCACAGCGGTGTAGCCTGAATGGATGCAGAGAAATTAACATATAGAAGTGTGACAAAAGCTTACAGTTGATATGGGCGGGGCAGTTATGACCAGAAGTGACGTGCAAAACAAAACAATGGAGGAGAAATCGAAAGGAGAGATTAGAAAAGCACAGTGAGAAGAGTATAAGCGACAGACAAAAAAGAGAAATGGGATAAGGAACAAAAAATATAAAAAATATAAAAAAACGCGAGTTAGACGCCTCCTGTCCGTCCCGAGGTTGCCCTCATCTTACCATAGTATATATATGTCTTTAGGAACTTGCGATGTTAAAAAACTGCAAAACATAGAGGTACAGCAAAGCAGCATTTATCTGTTACAAATACCTCGCAAAAGGTTGATTTAAATAAATAATAAGTAAAAACAATAAAATAAAATGTAGAAGGGAGAGGAGGCTCGGGAAGAGATCGCAATCCACAGATCTGACACATTCTAGTATATATATTGCAAACTAAGTGCCAGAATTCCAGCTCCTATCTTGCGGTTCTCCGGGGGATTGTATAGGAGGCAAGGAAGTCTCGGGAGGAACACATGACGTAGGATAGTTATAGGGTGGACCGGACCGCGCCGGTTGAGAGACGGGCGTCGCTGAAGTCGAAGTGCTCCAAGAGGTAGGGTATGGGTTCGGTTGAGCCGGTGACATGGGGGGCAAAGGCAGTCTGGTTGGAGCAGAACTCGTCCGCTGGCGCACATGTCCCTCACTACCTAGTCCTTCACGGCGGTCATGGAACTGCTGTTCAGTTTCCGATTCAGAAACAGGGGCAGATGACTGGCGAAGCCGAGGAGATGTAGGTCGCGGTGGTATACGATGCAAACCAACCTCTCTGTCGTAAAGTGTTCTGAAAAAGTCCCGCTCGGCGCGGTAGAAGTTTCTCTCTTCTGTCAAGAATTTAATGTCGTCCTTTTGTCTTTCCACTTCCTGTTTCATTTCCTTCTCGTTTACTTTTTTCCTCTCCCTGAACCGCTTGGATGCATCACTATTCTTCAGTCGTTTCTCAGCTGCCTTTCGTGACCCAGAATCAAAATCAACCGGGACGCTCAGTCGTGACTGAATATCCCTGGGTGAAGCAAACTTGCTTTGTCCGCCCACAAACGTATAACTAGATCCGCCGTCCTGTGGCGTTCTACTCCGATTATCGTCTCCAATAAATGAGGCCCCTGTAGGCTGAGATAGAGAGGGAACTGGCTGTTGAAGCAAATTGGTTGACGCTGGGACATGCGAACCTTGGATTAACGGACTGTACGCTGAGTGGGTTGTACCTGGAGCTGTAATTTGAGGCCCAGATCCTTGTCGTCCAGTTATCGGGCGCGGATCGATAGGGAGTGTGGCCGAAGGAACGGATGGATGAGATAGAGAATATCGCATTGAGGGCGGGGCTTCCATTGTTGGTCGCATGGCGGTATCTCCATATGGTTGTTGCGGAGGGAGAAACGGATTGTGCTCCACAGTCATAGTTCCACGGGCGGGGCCATAGCTGGGCCCAATGCTTGGAGCATGTACTCCAGGCGACCTTGCCGTAAGGATATGACGTTGTGGTAGAGGGGAATACATCGTACGGTCATGTTGTGATACTGAACGGTCTGATTGGGGGGTTAATCCCGCTGAGGTTGGTGTGGCGTGTGGGTTGGTCGATGGGGAGGGGGATGTCGATGGGGTGGGTTCTGGAATATCGCGATTCATCTGGTGGGCGGAGGGTCCCGTAGCTAAGGTGTGAGAAGGATTAAGAATAGCATGCATCCCTATGGAGCGGGTTGTCGCCGTTCGCCATGTCGGATCTGGGGAGCCCGTCCTCCCCGTCAATGGAGCAGGGCCGCTGTCCCTAGTTTGTTGTGGCTCTAGGGGTTCAACAGTCCCATCATTCCGGCTCCGGGGGGATAATTCGGTTGTCGCGACAGTTTTGCGTACGCGGCGAGACGGGCTGCCGGACAGAAAATCTGATGCATGTGGCCGTTTCGACATAAGCTCCTGCACTCCACCGAGGGATAGATTGCGTGGAGCGGAACATGGACGATCCTTCCCTCCCTCTTGAATGCTCCGGCTCTCAGACGGTCGAAGATAAGAGAGGGAGGGCAACTGACTCTGGTTTTGGTAGAATCCGTTAAAGGTATAGTCACGGGCTTGTACAGCTGTAGCCCTTGTGTAGTCGAGGTGCGTTTGGGGAAAAGTGCGGATTCCGAGCGCAGCCACGATGAAGGCCAAAAGCTGATGCCGTACAGGGTGACTTCCCGCTTAAAACTGATAGGCTTTCTCCCAGCCAGCAGCTTTTGAAGGCACCGACTGCAAATATATTCAAGGGGGCGGAAAGAGAGAATGAAAGCAAACAAAAAAGTAAAGGACACAAAAAAACAAAAAACTAAAACTAAATAAATAAAAATAAAAATAAAAAATAAAAAAAGAGAGGTGATGTTAGTCAGAGCAAGAGCTCAAAGATATGGGGTAGCTCTCCACTGCTGCAGCATGAAGAACGTATGGGGGACAGTCAACAACGCGGGCAGGTAACTTTCTTTCGACGAAGAAGAAGAAAAAAGAGAAGGGAGAAGAAGGGAAAGAAAGTTGGATCTTTGGAAATGGAAATCTTCAAGTGGTCAACCATCAAAAAAGCAAAGAAAAGTACCAGGCGGAGGAGGAAATATGGAAGTCAATAATACTAATAACAATAATAATAAAATAATACTACTAAGGAGCGGCGGACAAGTGCAGCAGCACCTCCTGTCCCCAACGCGTGCTTGGATCAAACATGCCTGGCCTCGTTCTAAGCTCGTAACAAAAGCTAATACAGGCTTGGACCAACGGACCGGGGACCACGGAAGGGATGGGCTTGGTGAGAAACAATGCGCTTGGCGAGCGCGATTCTGCGAGAGCCAGCGGTGGTGAGAAAAGGACAAAACAGCGCCTAAACCCTCAGATGCTGGGCTACCGATGCATGGAAACGTGCCCACGAGAATGGTTGAGGGCGTGATAGTGGACCCTACATAATGCGCTAGGGCATATACCGGCGGCCGACAATTGGGCAGCGAGCTTAAAGCCCCCCAGGAGGTGTGGTGTGAATGGCTTCCGCTGAACGATCGTTGCACAGTCCGTCGTTTTTATTCTTTGCCGGTCCATCCCAGCTGTGTTGCAAGTGATCCACACCAGTGCTGGGGGCGTGTTCAGGCCGGACTCAGGAGGTGAGGTGAGGTGGACTTGACCTTGGCCGGCGGTACTTTGACCTTCGTTAGGACGATGTTCTCGGTGCCAGCCAACTGCTTCTGGGCCATTAATCTTCGTTGTTATTCGCTGCAACTCGCTGTCCGAACTTGCTAGACTAGACCGCTACTGGTCAGTAATTTATTATTGTCAGGGCTAATTTCGGTTCTTATCCTGTTCTCTGCTCGCTTACCCGCTAGCCATGCGGCGGCCGCCGGAGAACGGATATGGGGGGTCCTTCGCATATTATGCGTAGGCAGATTCTGTCCAGTGCTCTCGTCATTTATTATTGACAGTGCCGCTAACGGGATCGAAGGGGGGGGAAATTACTTGCACCAGACAATCGTTGTACTGGCATGCCAGCCGCAGGAAAGGTAGATTTCCCCACACGAATCTCTCAATGTGTGCATTTCCTCTCTATCTTGACGCGCTGCGGCAGTCCAGTCCACGGTTTTCTTAATACATGAAACATGCATCAAAAGCGGCTGTTGATTGCTTTGCTTTGGTGACAAATTCACGACATTATTGCATGCATTGCGGTCAAGATAAGCCTGGAGATAATGTAGGCGGTGCACTGGCAGCAAAGGCTCTCCCTGTCAGCCAGCTCGTGAAATGAACGGTTGCCCCTTTTCACCAAGCTGACCGATGAAGGTGGCAGTCATAAAAAATAATACTTGGACTCTGATTATTGCCACCGTGCATACAAATTCTTGGAGAATCCGGTATTGCCCAGTTTATTCTTGAATTTAATTGATATCTTTTCGAAGTTAGGCAATTGCTGTAATCGATATTTCTGATACGACTTCATTCGAGCTTCTGCAATCCTAGCAATACACGCCTGGATAGACAATCTTGGACCGAGAAGGCGTCTATCATGCTGCCAGCTGAATTTGAACAGCTTCCTGGCTAGTCCATTGCAAATAGGCATGGCATAGGCATGGCATATGTATATGGTGGACATGGCTTCAGAGGCAGAGGTATCAGCAGGTGTATCCCCCCAGTCGGGGACTGTTTGGTTAGATACCTTCTATCTTTTATTTAACTATTTTTATTCTATTATGTTATATATATATATATATATATAGTACGGAGTGTACTATATTGAATATACCAGGGTAGACCAGTGTATTTGAGAACAGGATATTTACAAAGAGTAGCGTTAGCATAACTCTGCTGCTGCTTGCAAAGATGGCATACAGCTGCTTTTACGATGAAGTGTAGCATGTGCCTCCCCATGCGCAGGCAGGCGGTGTAATACCAACCACCCTTACCGATGACCGCCCATGACGTTCACAGCCACATTTTGAAAATTTCGCGAGATGGACGGGCTCTTCAAGAGAGTGCCAGTACGAAACACTGCCTCTTTGGCCAGGACCTAGCGGAACCCAAGGAACTGGTATCAGGCGCCAGTTGGGCAGGAAGGTCGATGAGGCTTTTTCCTACTGGCCAGTTGGGCCAGGAGACAAAGTCTTCACCAAGTCAGAAAAAGTCAGAAATGGAAAATCCAAACAGATCTTCGGTCTGGCGCAGTTATCGGCATTAAATAACCAATCAACACAAATTCGTGACGGTTCGAGGGGTTTTTTTTTCGGCCACGAGATAGACGAACTCACACTAATTAGCAAACAAGTCAGCGATAATAATGTTGATGAAGGGTTGAAGGCGGCTCCAGACAGTCATTGTTGACGCATGATAAGGCTATCGCCAGATGAGAGGAATGTCAAGATATGCGTTTACTGAGAGGGGTCAGAACCAATTTAGGAATGACTCTGACAAATCCCCAGCTTTCAGAAATTGTATACTCCGTACATCACGCCTCTCATTTTAAGAGGGGGTCAACTTTATGCTTGAACTGTATCAGTGGCCATGTGTGCGTGTTTACCTGCTTGCGATCTTCCGCTGCAAGCTCTGTATTAAACATTGAAACAGCCACTGGTATCAATAGTAATAATAGTGGTAAAGGCCCCAGTCCTATGGGCTCGATCAGGCCCCACATGAAACGGTGGTCATGAATAGTTCCATTATTGCTCCCTCTTCGAGGGGATAAATAGTCGGTAAGGCGTCTTGAGCGGGACCTAGTTGCTAGGTGTATCAGGTGGGCAAAATACTCTCCCGCTGACATGCGAGAATCGAGTCGAGAGCATTGAAGAGCATGTCATAACTCCACAACCCTTTAAAAACAAGAAGGAACGAATATTGATATTAAGCTGGCCTTGAAGCCCGATTTCGTAAAATCTTATCCCTTCCTCAAGCTCCCTAGCAGCATAGTTCCCTGGGTCGGCCTTGATAATGATTCGACGAGGTTGACAAGCACTTTAAATAATCAATCGCGGCAATCGCCTGTTCGGCTCTTTAAAAGCCGGCGATCATGACCTGTGTGTTTGTCATGAAGATCGCGGGTCCAAATACCGCGAAGCTGGCAGATAACAAGGTTATCTCTCGGCCATGCCATGTCAAATGTTTCTCAGATCGCGAAGGTTATGCGCCATACATTATAGCTGTAAGGTTTGCTCTGCATGCACCAGCTCAAGCCTCTGAATAGTAATTCCTGTAGGTTTTTTGTTCTCAGTAGCAGCTGTTTCGGCCATGGAATTCAATAATCAATAATAGTGAGCTCGGGCTGCATTGCTGTAATGATAGCACTTGCTTCGTGTGGGATGGGATGCCAGGCCATCGTTTGAAATCCCTCTGATTCCTTAGCGAGGTGAAAAAAGTGTGGCAGGTGAAGGCTGAATTTAACATCCAGCTTCGGTACTCATGGAGTCATGGCGCGATTTGTCGACGGTTGACTCGTCAAGATGGAAAAAAAATAAAAATAAAAACCTTCCTCGTGCTGGGCGGAATGAGCGACTGTTCTCGATCAGCCATCAAATCCACGGACCCACTTTGCTGCAGATCATAATCGGCGGGCAGCTCACCAGGTCTTTCGTATTCTTGAACCATGGTTGCGCCGTTGTTTTGCAGTTGGCACCCACGTTATATTTTACCATTCTTCTCCACACAGCGGCGCGGAGGGCCAGTCCAGTGGACGGTTGGCAGGGATTGGACCGGACGACCGCACCATTGGCTCTAGATTCAGGCCTGTGCTTCCAGTCCTCGAGGCATGCAACCTTCAAACACTTGATTGGGGGATTCAAAATAGATTGGCCGCCGGGACCATGAATTTCACATTTGGTCTCATTTGGTCTGGTCCCATACATTTCTTGGCGTGAATCCTGCTGGGACTGGCTATCAAAAAAACATATAAAGTGACTAACCGTGCCATGCTTACTCACTCTCTGTAGTGAGTGCGCCACAGCGTACAGAAAACCACACCATAAAGAAAATATTTTCAATATCTTTATTCTTCATCTTCAAATAATCATCATTAATTATAACCATGTCTAAATCTTCTAATTACACTGAGAAGCAGTTGCAAAGAGCTGTTGACGTGTATAAAAGCAATTCAAAATTAAAAATCATGTCTCTGTCGCGAGAATTCAAAGTCTCATATGCCACCTTGTATGAGAGGATCAACAGGAAGAAATCAAGGACTATGAGGATTCCACTGAATTGAGCATTGAATGACAGTCAGGAAGAGGCAATTAAGATATGAATTCATCAATTGAACATTAATTTTTGCTCATTCATCATCAAGCATATCAAAGCTGCTGTGAACCACATGTTAAGACAGTATTATACAGATTCAGAGACTGCATCTTTCACAGTAAGCAAGATGTGAATATATTGATTCATCAAACATCTGTCAGATTATAAATAAGTCAAGCAAAAATCCATGAATTCAAAATGAGTGTCTTACAAGGATATAAGCTTCATTATCAACTAATTTAATTGATATGAAGCTGTCTTCAATCAATATCAATTTTTTCACTGTGATATCTACAACTTTGATGAGATTGAATTTCAAGAAGAAGAAGAATATGAACAGTGAGTTATAATCATCTTTAAAGACATAAATTCTGTCATACAGTCATCATACTCCCGCGGGTTAATAACAGTGATGAAGTATATTAGTGCAGATGACACAGTATTGAATTCATTGATTATAATGAAATTAAAGATTCATTTAGAGAATTGATATATATACTTCAACTTATCTGATAACTATATCATCACTGTATCTGAGTCTGGCTTTACAAATAATGAGATTGAATTTGAATGAATCAAGCAGTTCAATAAGATGATAAAAAAGTATTAAATGAGCAGTTATCAACTGCTATTAATGAATAATCATGATTCTCATCTCACAGAAGAATTTATTCAATACTGTGATCTTCATAAGATTATTCTGTTTGAATTCTCATCTCATATAAGTCATATTCTACAATCTCTTGATAATGTATCTTTTCAGCAGTATAAGCATTATCATACAAAGACAGTTAATGAGACTGCCTGCTACAGATATGAGCAGTATGATGATAGATAATTTCTTACTAATCTGAAGAGCATCTGACTGCAAGCATTCAAACCTGGCACTGTGAGAGCTGACTTTGTCAACTGTGAAATGTATTCAGTTAATTGTGATATAATTCTCAATTGATTGAGACCTCTTATCATTAATGATGCTCTGAATCTTAACATATATGATGATAATGATGATGTATACAATCACTTTATCTCATCACCTGCAGATTGACTGTCAACTGTCTTCTTGCAATTAATCTTCTCAGAGACAGTTGCAAAACTATGTCATCAAATCAATACAGCAGCCAAGGCCTTAGAAGATGTGAAGGATACTCTTACACCTGATTTGACAAGACAGTTGAACAAGATCTTCAAGAGTAGCATGGTCCAGGCGGAATTGAACATGCACTGTGAGAGTGAACTTGCAGATCATTATTAAGCAAATAGATGTCAGATTGTCAAATCCTTCCACAGACAGGTGCAAGTAGGTGAAGTTCTTACTATTAAGAATGCCAATCACAAGATCACAACTTGTAGAGCAGATGAGATGAAAAAGATGTTCAATAAGACTCTTTGATTGATTAGAATCAAATCTACAAAATCTACAGTCACTCAATCACAACAAGATAATTCTATAGAATCTCAACTTACAGTGAATTCTACATCTTCTAATGAGTATATAGATAATCTTTATGTTATAGATAGATGTGATGATGATTATTAATTAATTTTTGAAGATTACTATATTCAAAATATTTTCTTTACAGTGTGGTTTTTCATACGCTGTGGCGCACTCACTACAGAGAGTGAGTAAGCATGACACGGTTATATATCAGATCTTAAAATGAAATCATGACTTGAAAAAAATGAGAAAGTGATCTTATTTAATCTCATTTAGTCTCATTCTTCATATAAAGTTACTATTTTTAGACATTTTAAGATTTTTTTTAGACTATTTTTAATTTTTTAAAAAGTAATGCTTTTTAATAATACTTAAATGAGATTTAAAGTCATTTAAAGCAATAAAAATAATTTAAATTGAGAAGTGAAAATCATAATCTTATTTGAAAAATGTGACAAGAGTAGACAGTAAGTGTGACGTGCTTCTGCTCTCTATTCAAGTCAATTCTCTATTCAGCTCTAGCTTTCACTTCATCTCTTGCTGTTTTCTGAAGCTTTCACTTCTATCTTCTCTCTCTGTTCTTCTCTTCATATGCAATTACTTCTTCTATGAGAGCTTTCACTTCTTCTCTACAGAGCCTTTATTCTTTTCTTCATATACAATTACTTCTTCTATGAGAGTGTCTGCTTCTTCTCTACAGAGTCTCTGTTCTTCTCTTTATAGATAATTGCTTCTTCTACAAGAGTTAATCTCTATAAAACAATCACTGTATATATAAGAATGTACACTCATCTCTCATCTTTTAGAGAATAAGACAAGTTTTTATCCTTATATCTGATTCTATATAGCAGTGTACACTACAATTTGATAGCATGTCTTATTAAGAATCAAGTTCTTCTAGCCTCTTTAACTTTCACTTTATTCTTAATATACATAGCACTGATGATTGAACTGAGCTGTAGATACTGAGAATTGACTAGTCAGTAATCAGTCTGATTAGTTATTCTATCTTCTTTTAATACTGCAGCTAGTGATTAATCTAGTTTATAATTATTCAGCTGTTCTATCTTCTTTAATACTGCAGCTAGTGATTGATCTGATCTGCAGTTATTTAAATCTATCTTATTCAATACTACAGCTGATAATAGATCTGACTAATGATTATTTAAGCATCTTTCACTTCAGAATACTATAGTACTAGTGATTGATCTAGAATATAATTATAATTACAGTAAACTCATCTTTGCACTCTTATATAACTTTATCAGCTCTAAGCTGTATAAGTGAGCTTGACTATCTTGCTTGAATAGCGAGCTCGTAGGCTACAGGGTTATTGCAAGGATATCACAGATATGGTACTTAGTATACTAAGAAGATTGTATGAGGCACACAGTAACTCTTGTGTATATTTCAGTAGAAGTAAAAGAAATGAATCACTGACTTCTTTGATAAGAAGTCAGCATCTAGCTATTCTATATAGATAATAAGCAGATACTCTTCTCTCATTTCATGAGTGAGAATAGTCAGAGTGATATCTCAGTAACATCTCATTGCTAAGAAAGAGTAATCTGCTGACCTTATATAGAAGTGAGGTTCTCATATTCATCAATCAGATCTTTCTATAATATATTCAAATGATGTTATAGAGTGATTGAAAACCGGTTAAGTCAGTCTGTGAGATGAATGGAATCATTCATATGAAAGTGATAGGCTGTGTGAAACTACAACAGAGTCTTGGCATGACTGAGAGTGTGACAATGCTCTCTTCTTTAAGAGCATAGTCTCTATACTCTCAAGATTACTGGATTAGAAATTATCTTTATTATATAGCAACAGTTGTCAACTGATTGACAGCATGTGTGCTGTGTGTGATATAAAGAAATAGATGAGTTTTTCTACTGACTGTGAAGATCTTTCTTTTCTCATCTTTATTCAAATCAAACATGTGATAAGTGAGTTTCTTATATATTGATTTAGAATGTGAAAAATGTGATTAATAAGTAACTTACAGATCTCTCAATATATTTCATTCTATATATGAAATTCCCTGCAAAAGTGATGTGTTTTAGAGACAAAGCTAACAGTAGTGACAGGATTTTTCAAAAAGATTCTCTCTCTTATGAAACATTTTTCTTTTCTCTCTCTCAATTGCAATAGTGAGTGCATGAGAGTATTATTCTTGAAGAATAATCAAGGACTTATTCTGATGTTTTCTAGTGAGTAAATGTCTTTGTGGTGTGGTGGTGGCCTCTGTGACTGTTAAGAAAGCCAGGTTGAAGGTGAAGATGATGATGTCAATGAGCTGTGAGAGCACTGCTCTCATTGTCATATCTTCTTCTTCTTCTGCTTCTTTTATGACTGTGATGATAGTCACTGTGCCTTGCAGTGAGATGTTATCTCTTCTGCTGATCAGTTTGTCTGTGTCTGATCTGTTCTCTGCTCTCTTCACTGCTGTTGTGATGCTGCTCTCTTCCCCAGTCAATACAGTGATGTATGACCCTGTGTGGTCATTTGAAGAGGAGCTTGAAGAGAGCTTGATTCTGAGAACAGTGACTCTGAGAAGCTCAATTCATATTTCCTCTCTCACAGCACACTCAAGCCCTGCTCAGAATACTACTGAATTGAATCTGCAGAGTCTCACAGTTTCTTTATCTTCTTTCTATGAGAAGGCTCTGATGTGATCTCTGACTGATATCACTACTTATCTGCACTGCATCAAGCAGCTGAAGAAGAGAGGGATTTTATACACTCACTTCTTCTCTTACTTCTATTATTTCTGTTGTATCTGTAACAATGACTTCTGTCTTTCTATAAGTATTATCTCACAGAAAGATGTTGTGTCAGTTCTGATAAGAAGTCTAGATACTCAAGCAGTACAGAGTAAGAGTCTCAGAGCTTCAAGTATTGATGAATTCTATTAAGACTGAGAAGATCTCTCTTGCTCATCTATAAAAGAAGATAAAAGTGTGAATCTCTGAGATGAAAAAACATCTCAGAATAACTGATCTTAAGAAGAGATCAGCTGACACTGCTGTTGAAAGCACTATGAAGATCAATCACTGATTAAAGAGAATCTCACTTCAGTTGAAGCAAAATTTATTTTTAATCAGAGAGCATAGTCTGTACAGTTGAGAAGGCATTTTCTTTGAAGAATTATTTTCATTTCAATCAAGA